AACGCAGGGACAGATCAGAATATTTTGAAGAATGTTCGGAGTAAGAAGGTAACTCCCAAGATTTGAGGGGGTGATTGAGTTAAGGTCAAAGCCAGAACTCACTTCTTAAAGGCATCACGCGTTTCAATCTTAGAAAAAATTTTCACTCCTGGCGGAAGGCGGTCTCTTGCATCCTTGATGAAGGAGGCGTTCTCTGAGAAACTTGTGAAAACGAAGTCAACCTAGGGTATTCAATTTAAACACAACTAACTTACCCCACACTCGCCGGCAAACTCTAGATCTTTTATGTAATTGGCATAAACGGAATGCTGATAAAGTCGTTCTCGAGGAAGCGTTACTCGCTTGTAACCGCCGATAGACCCTTGAAATCAAGTATAAAATATAATAAAGTACATACCGCCCTCCTCGATGAGACAATTTATGGAATCAAAAGTCGTATCTTTAACAATCAAACAAATTGTTCCGTCATCGATATGTATCCGGTCCCCCTTGTGCACACTGTGAATGAGCTGTGGGAAGTACTTTGTGTCGATATATATTTTTTGCGCTGTGCACTTGTTCATATAAGCCTCGTCTGTAGTCAGTTCAAGCTTGCCACCTTCTTCCAAAACTACTTCCAAATCAGACATCTAAATGTGAGACGTTATATGAACTAACTTACGCCATCAAAGAGACCCGTGCGTACTGGAGCCGCAGTCATATCCATGGCAATGGCAACGCATGGATTGAAATTAAGAGATTCCTCGATCTTCCGCACATCCTCAATGACCCTCTTGCACGTATCACGGGGAGTCATGCTCATATTCAAAACCAGAACGTTCATCCCTGTGTGTATCATTTTTTCCAGGTCTTCTGGTGAACTCCAAGAATCCCCTTCAAGAAAATAATCCCAAATAAACTTTACCTAATGTGCATAAAATAGACGTTTGTCTTGCCGGTAGGGCAACTTGATCAATATCCAACTGACTGGCATGGGCAAGACGAGAGGTCGGCTTCGCAGTCCACATACGATTATATTCTTTGTCGAACAAGACATTGCATGAACTGTCAACAGTAGTAATAAGCGGAGCAGCAGCCATCTCTATCCCAATGCACCGATCCTGTGTTTAAATTAAAGCGGAATTAAGACCTTGAATAACAGGTATTTGAAGCAATAAAACAACTGCAGTTTTGGTACGTTTGTTGTGCTTACCATTCATAAGCTGT